CACACACACACACACACACACATACACACACACACACACACACACACACACACACGGACAGAGGGACAGAGAGACGGATGGACCCGACTGAAACGGACGGCAATGTCTGTCTATGGGACTCACTTTTTCATCTTCGTCCAAATGCTGAACAAGTTCTTGGGCCGCCCACAGAGATCCTCGTACGCTACCCCAGATTCACGGAGTCCTTCATCCATCTGCCGCATTGCAGTCATCAAAGAATCTCCTCTGTGCGAATCTCTCAGCTTGGCTACCAGTTCCCTATACGTTTCCGGCTGCAGATACATGAAGCAGAGATCTTCCAGCTCCGCCTTCCAGCTCCAGACGCCCAAGCGATTCGCCAAGGGCGCAAAGATATCCAACGTCTCTTCCGAAAGCCTCTGCCGCTTGGCCGGCGGAAGAACTTCCAGCGTCCGCATGTTGTGCAGCCTGTCCGCTAATTTGATCAACACCACCCTGTAGTCAGCCATAGCCAGGAACATGTTCCTCAGTCTCTCCGCCTCCCGCGCACCCAGCGGAGCCTGTCGCTCTCGCGCCAGCTGACTGATATGACTCATTTTGGAAACCTGCAGAAAAAAAAAGGAACACCCAAAACACCCAACAAAAGCACACAGGCATTGCCACGTCGGACGTCGGTACAGCAAGAGACACTTCAACAACCAAACCATCCATCCATTCATTTCATCACTGTACAGTGTACACGCAGGACGAAACTGTTATAATGGAAAGCGAGCGACTCAGAGAATTCACTGTTGCGACTAAGGAAGGGGGGTGAGAACTCCCACTGGCAATTTACTACACGTATCTGACTGCAATTACGGCCCGACCTGCACGCATCTGACCGTAATCACGTCTAGATTAATACGACTCATTTTCGAAACCTGCAGAAAAAAGAAGACACCCACACCACGCAACCTGCACGCATCTGACCGTAATCATGTCTAGATTGATACGACTCATTTTCGAAACCTGCAGAACAAAGAAGACACCCACACCACGCAACCTGCACGCATCTGACCGTAATCACGTCTAGATTGATATGACTCATTTTCGAAACCTGCAGAAAAAAGAAGACACCCACACCACGCAACCTGCACGCATCTGACCGTAATCACGTCTAGATTAATATGACTCATTTTTGAAACCTCACGCAACCACTTACAGCAGGACGACACTATTACAATGGAAAGCGAGCGACTCAGAGAATTCACTGTTGCGACGCGACTAAGGAAGGGGGGTGAGAACTCCCACTGGCAATTTACGGCACGTATCTGACTGCAATTACGGCCATGGTTTCCGGGTAGACTGTGAGGGACCCGGCCGGCCGCAGTTCTTTTCTGCAATATAAAGACTTTGTTATTGAAAAACGAAAAGAAAAAGAAAAGAAAAAAAAAAAACTTACCCCTGTGACCAGGTTGGTGATATCCGATCCGAACATCTCCTGCAGCTGGCGTTCATTCATCATTGAATCGTCGAGCGTGTCATGGAGGAGGCCAGCGGCAACGAGAACCTTGTCGTTGCACGTCTCTGCGAGGACGATAGCTGTCTCGACGCAGTGAGATAAGTAGGGATCGCCGTTCAGACGCATCTGTGGCAGGTCAATAAAAGACATCGACGGCAAAACAATAAGCAAAACGCAGTCACGCAAAACGCAGTCACGCCACATTCCTAATCAGGCATCTCCACATCACTCCAAAAACCACACAACCAATCAATCACCTTTCTCCTTACAATGCAGACCACGATGCCACCATTACTTCCAACCCGAACACACCCAATCCCACCTATCTCCTTCCTCATCCTCACTGCCACATACTCTTCACCAAACCTCTCTCTCTCTCTCTCTCTCTCTGTGTGTGCGAGTGTTGCCATATTCCCTCTATACAACTCTACAAAAAAAGCATGACTGTGCCAGAAGACTGTTTCGTTGGAAATTTCACCGACTTCTCAAGAGGTTGAACCTCGAGAGTCTGCCCAGCCTGAGGATGGATTTGACTGATCGACAGGATGGATTAGGAACACAAGATTTCGAGTCGAGTTTTAATCGATGTTTGTGGAGTCGATTATCCTTCTCGAAAAGATAGATTCGATGGATAGGATGGACTTGAGCGATGGCTGAGAAGTCAACACGTCCGCCAGCCTGAGAGTTAGCGATGATCCCCTTGAGAGAAAAAAAAGGTCGATTTGTAAGGAAGGTGACCAACTTCTTAAAAGAACAAATAAAAAAAATAAAAATAAAAAAAGGTCGACTTTACTCACACCGACCCTCAAATCGTAGCAGTGTTGGTCCGAACCCGAGACGAGAATGGCAGTATGTCTGAGAAACTACCGTCTTCAGCCCGGTCATTATTGCTGCATCTGCACCGAAAGTTGCGCCAAATACAGCCATAATAACCGGGCATTAACAAAAGGAGGAAGAAGGGGAAAAAAAAAGACCGGGCGTTCTATTCGTGTGAAGACGGTAGTCTGTCACAGCCATAGAACCCACTCTCCACACCCACCCACTTTACCATGTCTCTCCGTGTTTTTTTTTTTTTTTTTTTTTTTTTTTTCAGTGCTACATCAACAGGCAATAGGACTTGTTGCTGCAACTTCCTTCGTCGCCCGAATACAACGCACGGTCATTATAGTTGTATGTATTTAGACTGTCATTTAGCCCAGATACAGCTATAATGACCGTGTGTTGTATTCGGGGGAAAAGGAAGACAACTCTAGACGAAAACTCAGCCATGAGCCATGCGCGCGACGAGGATCTCCTCTTCACTTCATACGCTTTTACCCGCCCGGCCCCACCCGCCTGTCTTCCCCCGAATAAAACGCACCCTGATCATGAACCCATGTACACAACCTATCTTTCTAGTCCGATACATCTTTCTGGTCCGATACGTCTTTCTGGTGCGATACACTCATGATGCAGGTCCGCTGTGTTCCACCCTTTCGAAAACTCCAGACCTCCTCAACGACCAGTTCAAAACGGAGCCAAAAAAAAAAAAACAAAAAAAAAACAGAAGATCAAACGCCGCTTCAAAAAACGGCAACCTATTCAGCTGCGTGGCCAGCTCATACGACGAACAGAACGCCCGGTCATTATGGCTGTATTTGGCCTGGGCGTTTTATTCGGGTGAAAACAAAGACGGTAGTCTTTCACCTTTTACTAAAGAATACCGTGGGCTGAGCACACTGAACAATATAAAAAAAAAAAGCTGAACAATTTTTTTTATTTTTTTTCCCGCTCCATCGAAGGGTCATTTAAAAAAGAAAAAAAGAAAAAAAGAAAAAAAAACGGCAACCCGCTTTTGGGAAGGAGCTATCTCCCTCCTGTTCGCAAGATGGGGCTCCTATCGCCGCCACTCCTACCGTAATCCCCCGAATAGAACCCACGGTGATTCTCGCCGTATCTAGACAGAAAGATGCGCCAAATACAAAAAAATAACCGTGTGCTCTATTCGCCGGGAAGACGACAGTGTACGATCGCTCCGATCGCGACTCTTTGGGGACGAACAGTCCAAGACCTTGGGCCTCGCTGCACTACTCTCGAAATGCACAACAGACAAAAATCATGGCAGTGTATCTTTCCATATTCTAGACGAAGATTCACTCTCGTTTTGCACATTTCGAGAGTAGTGCAGCGAGGCCCCTTGTGTTGAACTTCGCCCCCCCTACTGAGTGAAAAAAAGAAAGGACAAAAAAAGAGTAATGTATAATTCCGCCTTTTAGCGAAAGGTGCATACACTCGATTTACAAATTTGGGCCCTGGTGCGCCCCGCGCTCCCGTCGGTAGGTAGGTGGCGGCAAGCAGGGGAGTGTCGCTTTTCCACGGCCGAGGCCCCACTACCGGTAGCAAAGGGGATGAAACGTAACTCCTGAATCTGGACGTGTTTGTGGAGAGGTGCAGAGGTAGGTAGGTGGCGGCAAGCAGGGAAGTGTCGCTTTTCCAGGGCCGAGGTCCCACTACCGGTAGCAAAGGGGATGAAACGTAACTCCTGAATCTGGACGTGTTTGTGGAGAGGTGCAGAGGTAGGTAGGTGACTGCAAGCAGGGAAATGTCGTTTTTCCTGGGTCGAGGTCCCACTACCGTCTTAACCCGAAAACAACGTACGTACGTTGTATTCAACTTACCTCTGAAAAATGGCCTCTGAGAAATCGCGCCGTGTTTTTCGAATAGAACGTACCCGCGAATACAACGTACCCTCGAATAAAACGTACCCTCGAAAAAAAAAAAGCCTGCTACAACGGAAAAATAACATCTCCACTTACTTCTGTATGTGGACTGAGTGTTGCCCCGACAGACAGACCTCGCCCCGACAGACAGCAACCCAGATACCGGGGACCTCCCGACACAGCCAGATACCATGCTCCCCCTCTTTCATTTTTCTTATTTTTCATATTTTTTCTTTTACTAATTTTTTAAATTTTTCGTATCTTTGCCCTGGAAAAGTTGTACCCCAATATTCGTTGTACAACGTACGTACGTTGTATTCGAATACAACGTACCTGGTACGTTGTATTCGTATACAACGTACGTACGTTGTTTTCGGGTTAAGACGGTAGCAAAGGGGACGAAACTTCACGCCTGAATCTGGACGTGTTTGTGGAGAGGTGCAGAGGTAGGTAAGTGGCGGCAAGCAGGGAAGTGTCGCTTGAAACGTAACACCTGAATCTGGACGTGTTTGTGGAGAGGTGCAGAGGTAGGTAGGTGAAGGCAAAAGCAGGGAAGTGTCGATTTCCTGGGCGGCCGAGGTCCCACCAGCTAACGGGATGAAACTTAACGCCTGAATCTGGACGTCTTTGTGGAGAGGTGCAGAATAAGAAGTCACTTCTTAACGCCTGAATCTGGACGTCTTTGTCGAGAGGTGCAGAATAAGAAGTCACTTCTCTTTTCCAATTCCTTTATGTCTTCCATAATACGAAGTTTCCATTTTTTTTTCCTTTAACAACTCCTTAATTAATAATTTCTTCGCGGTTCCTTGATTTCACAGCCTTTTTCGCCGATTTTAATAATTGTCCTTTTTTTTTTTTTTTTTTTTAATTGTCCTTTACTCCGTTCCCTTCTTTATTATTAATCCGTCATTTTCATTAATTTCAGGTTTTTTCCGCTGATTGGTAATTTCGCTGATTAACACACACGAGTGATTCTTCTTTATTTTCATTCCCTTTTCCACTAATCAGTAATTTTTAATATTTCGATGGCCTTTTTTTTCCCACTGCTGTAGAGATTTATTTCTCTTTGCTTTCATTATCTTTTGCGCTCATAAATCATTTTCCTTTCATTTCATTCCCTTCTACGCTGCAATAACCTTGCTTTCATTATCTTTTGCGCTCATAAATCATTTTCCTTTCATTTCATTCCCTTTTACGCTGCAATAATTAATTAAAATTTTTGGTAATTTCCCTCCCTTCTTTCACCCCCTTCTTCATTTTCCTTTCATTTCATTCCCTTTTACGCTGCAATAATTAATTAAAAATTTTGGTAATTTCCCTCCCTTCTTTCACCCCCTTCTTCTTCTTTCGCTCTTTCTTTCTTTTTTTCTCCCATTCCCTTCTTCATTTCGCTCATTATTTCTCATGATGAGAAAGAATGTTTTCTTCTGCCACGTTGAAATAAAGCAAGAGATCAATCAATTGACCAACAAAAAAAAAAAAAAAAAAAACTAGCAACGTCCTTACCTTTCCTATGCCACGTTGAAAGCAAGACATCAATCAATTGACCAAAAAAAAAAAAAAAAAAAAAAAATCAACTAGCAACGTCCTTACCTGTCCCTCGTGCGCAGTTGCCGCGACGTTGAAGGCCCTCTTAACGAGGGGATCGTAGAAAAGCTTGTGTCGGGACTGCGCTCGGAGGAGAAGCCTCCGTACAACCACTCGATTCAGCTGCGATGACGTGTCATCCTCCTTCAAGACGCGCCCACTGCGACCGGTCGGTGCGGGAGGAGGAGCAACTTCCACGGACCGAGTACGCATGTCGAGGAGAGGAGGGGAGGAGGAGGGGGGGGAGGAGGGGGAGGAGGAACGTGGAAGATAACCAGCGCCGCCTGCTCCTACTCTTGGACCCCGTCCTGCTACACCTACTCTCCTTGGTTCCGTCGCATTTCCGTTGCTGGCCGGAGTTAAGCACTCTCCCCGGTGATATCTCGACTCCCTTCTTTCCACGGTGGCGGCGGAGGAGCACGATGACGTGGCAGAATTCCAGCCCAACACGTCATCGAGCCGGATCGATCTGGGGGAGGAGCACCCACCAGCGAATCCGACTCCGACTCCGACCCCGACTTCCGACGGCTCGAGCGTCGCGACCGCAGCCGCATCTGCGTCGTCCCGACGGAGGAGCGGCGATGGCGTCGGGACAGTCACAGCCGCAGTCGCGACTCCCCTGCCTCCCCACCTCGGGACCGCAGACGCGGCCACACTGCGCGCCGGGGTTGCCGATGATGGATCGGCGGGATCTCCTCCGTACGCGCAGGAGAAGAACGGAGGCGACGCTTCCGCCGCCGCCGCCGCCGAAGAAAACCCGCTGCTGCAGCTTCCGCCGCCACCATCGCTGCAGCAGAAGCTCGACGAAGAAGAAGACAATCTCAGGCTATGAACGTTCATGTGAATGTCCACCATCTCTCCCCCTACTCCTCCCAAAGACCCACTCGGCGCGCAGTGTAGCCACTTATCCCCCCCTCCATCCTTTACGGCGGGAAAGCCAAAGGCCGTGGCGCGAGAGGGCGGCGTCAACCTTCGGTCCGGCGCAGCCCCTCCATGGCCGCTCCGTCTGGAGTTCCACGGCGACGACGCTAAACGGTCCGACAAACGGTCTCCGTTATCGAACGAAGAAGGAAGGGATCCAAACCCCCCTCCCCCCGGGCCTCCCGCGGAGGCGGTATGAATATGTAGCGCCGACAACGAGGAAGACGGACTGCCGAACGAGCTCGCCGCAGATGAGTAGCTGCCAATCCTGCTAGCGCTGCTGCTGCAGCTTCCGCCCACACCAAGGAGGACGGAGACAGGGCTCCGCTCCCTTGCGAAAGCCATCGGGGAGGAGAAAGGCGACGAAGCGGAGGAGGCGCAAGGAGCCGCCGCCGCCGCCGAGCCACGGCATCCATCGCCGACGAAATCCCTTCCAACGCAACACCCGGCAACCCCCATGGTGCTGCCACCGCTCATCATCCCAATACCACCTCCACCTCCTCCTCCTCCTCCTCCTCCATGTCCGTGACCCGAGATGTCGGAGGAAGACGATGACCCGAGGTCGCACGCTTGGTCGGACGACGTCGCGCACACGCCACTTGCCATCGCACACTGGGAGGAAAGGTGCTGCAGCTTGGACGTCGATGAGGGGAGAGAGAACATGTGTGACAAGCCGCCACTGATAGCGGCGGCTGACGTGGCAGTAGCTTTAGAGCACTGAGGTGGCGCATGATTGCTAGTGGCTGGTTTCCGCATACTACCGTCCACGTCGGATCCCCCAGGAATGCTCGTTCGCATGTTCATCATACCCGAGTGGCCCTGAATCACGCCAGGCGGGGAAGTCGAATACAACGCCATCGTTGCGGCCGCCATCGACAACTCCCGAGTTTATCAATCAATCAATCAATCAACTAATCAACTAATCAACTAATCAATCAAGCAAGCAAGCAATCAAGCAATCAAGCAAGCAAGCAATCAATCAAGCAATCAATCAAGCAAGCAATCAGCTCCAAACTCGTCGAGTAGTTTCCCTGAGCAGTTCACGCTTTTCTAGCTCAACACCACACACACACACCTTGTGTACTGGAACGCCACGTGTCACACGCCTACTCAAACGCCAAGACTCCGCACAAGTCACACCAGTTCATCAATCAATCAATCAATCAATCAATCAATCAATCAACTAAATCGAGACTACCCTTCCGATCCCCCCGCCGCCCTATTCTTCTCTGGAGAACAGCGCGGGAGCTTTAACAAAAAATCAAATCGATCAGGCTATCAAATAAATGCGTTCCATTCCATCCTCCCTCTCCCTTCCCCCCTCTTCCCCTCTTTCCCCCTCCCCCCCCCCACCTCAGTTTCCCCTCACCTTCAAATCGGGATAGAATCACGGCTCAATCATCACCGACAGATCGATGAACCCTCTTGTGGCCCCAGAGTCGCCACGTGTCACCATCTCTCTCTAACTGAACAAATTGTCTGCAAATCGAATCAAATCAAATCGATTCTCTGCCTCCGGAGGAGCACACAACAATAACACTTCCCTCCCCACGTAATCGATCACCGGATTAATTAATCGCGAATTTCAAATCACAAGGACACACACCCATCATTCTACACACCACAACCAGTCGCCAATCAAAACATTCATTCACCCCGATTAAAAGTCCATCTCCTCATCCTCATCACACAAAATTTGGCGTTGCCACACAATCGTTGATTGATAAAATCTGTGATACCGTTTTCAGCAAATTTTTCCCCTCGTCCACGTGTCAAACTTGTCGTCCGTCGGCAGATAAATCCGACGATAACCCTCTCTCACAAGGGGAAAAACTTTTTGCCAGTTTTTCCCTTCGTGCGAGATCTCACAAGCTTTATCTTTCTTTCACATGTTCGGCTTTTTCCATACGATTTCGCGAAAAAGAGATCGCATTCCAAACATGTACTTGCCAAAAAAATGAACTCTCCTCTCTCTCTCTCTCTCTCTCTCTCTCTCTCTCTCTCTCTCTCTCTCTCTCTGTGTGTGTGTCTGTGTGTGTGTGTATGTCTGTATGTGAGGATGCCAGCGTGTGTATGACGGAGGGAGACAGGGAGAGAGAAATATGTGTGCAGCGACAGAGCAAGAGGCAGGGAGCCAGGCAACTCTTCGTGCGAACGGACGCAAAGTAGAGCTAACGATTCTGGAAAAGCCAATCAACCAAAAACACAGAATGGAAATCGAGACTTTGGCAGGTCAATTTAAGCCACTATGCGCTTCCTCAATCTCAGTTCCCTCCCCCAAACGAGTGTGCCCCACTCGTTCTTCCCATCAAATATATTCTCTCAGTCAATTTGAGCCATCATCATCTCCTCGCGCGCCACCCCGTCCCCCTCCCGCTCTTCGTTTCCTGTTCTTAATGTTTTTTGTCCAAAATGTCTGTTCCTAGAAGCTTTATTTCAATTTCCCTCAAAATCAAGCACACTACCGTCTCTCTCTCTCTCTCTCTCTCTCTCTCTCTCTCTCACACACACACACACACACACAGAGGACAAGAACGCAACGCAGGCTAGTTATGCCAACCTTCCCCTCCCTCCCCCTTCCCCGCCTGCCCCTCCCCCGGCCCGAAGAGATGAATGAAGTGAAATAGCGATGCAAACGCACGCACACAGTCGTCCACGTGCCCCCCCACCAGGCTGTCCTCCCGCCCGCTGGCTGCCTGCGTCCTTCGTCTCCACTATGCTCTCACAAGACTGGCATACGTAAGTTCTACACCTTCAACTCGATATTATACCATATTGTATATTGTATTTCGTGCTGTGCTGGCTGCTCGGTCGAGCCCACCTGTGCTCCCGCTCCCGCCCCCGCCGATGGTTTGCACCGATGAATCTTTTGGTCACGTGTTTTGGCGCCACGAAGCACACCCCTCCTGTCCTGTTTCCTCTCTTTCCACGCCTGCATCCCGCGTGCAGCCCTCTCCCATCTCGTCCTCTCCCTAAGTGGTACGGTAGTCTGCCCCGCTAACTCCTCCCCTACCTACCTCCTCCTTGAGGGAGGTGCAATCCCTCCCCTCCCAATCTCCACCACCCTAAAGGAGGTAGAATCCCTCCCCTCCCTCCCCTCCGAAGAGGTGGAATCTATTGGCTCCTCTTCTGTCCCTTCATCGCGCTCTGACTACCGCAGACCGCGGCGACTTTCCCCCGACCGCCGGTGGGCGGCGCGTGAAAGCGCGAAATGAAAAAACGGTGCGTGTTGTGAGTTCGTCCCGCCGCGGTCTACGGGAGTGTAGCAATTGAAAAAATGAAAAAAAAAAATGAAAAAAATCAAAAGAAAAAACAAAAAAAAGAAAAGAAAAAAAACGGAAAAACCACCGAACGGTTGTATTCTATTAATTACGCGCGATCTTTCAAAAAAAAAACAATAATATAATAATTACGCGCGACCACCTTGGCCTATAGCTGCACTACTCTCGACATGCACAAAAGACAAACAATAATGGCGGTGTACCTTTCCATATTCTAGGGGAAGATTCACTCTCGTTTTGCACATTTCGAGAGTAGTGCAGCGAGGCCGCCACGAACGAACTGTTGAAGTACAGAGAGAAGAATGAATCCAGATACAATGAGGAGCATGGTCCCACTAGCAACGGGGAGTGGATTAAGATCCTGAATCTGGGCGTGTTTTAGGCAGAGATGCAGGAAAGAAGTTCAATCTCGATTTTCTGCACTTGTCCACAAACGCAGCCAAATTAAGGCGTTCAATCCAATCCTCCTTGCTACCGGTAGTGGGATCTCTGCCTAAAACACGACCAGATTCAGGATCTCACTCCAATCCGAAAGAAAAGAAAAAGAAAAGAAAAAGAAAAAGGAGTTCAACGATGATTTATTTTTATTTGTTTTTCAATGATGATATCTCGAGGACGTCGCGCCCTTTTGTTTTCAAAAAGAGAACTTTTTACGCGCGTGCTCATACCAGCACTTCCAGGACGTATCTGACCACGTTTACAGCCACGTGCGCGTACTTATTTTCCCATATTCACACTTGGCCTTCAACAGAACGCATGTGGCCGTAAAACCAGCCAGATCCACTCTCGGAGCTTCTAGCGCAACGCATATGCCTTGAATCAGTCGACATACTGCTCGTGCGCCCCACGCTTGCGCGTTCGCTCGTGCGCGCCGCCCACGCACTAGCGCTCGCCTCTCATTCGGGCTCGTGCACGCCACGAACGCACCCTCACTCACTAAACGAATGATCAACGCCGAAGTCGTCGAAGATCGTCGAAGTAATAAAAAGAGACAAAGGAGGAGAGCACATGCAACTCCCAGATTCGAATCCTCCCCCCCCCCCTCTCTCTCTCTGTGTGTGTGTGTGTGTGTGTGTGTGTGTGTGTTGTTTTATTGGCTATACAGTGTAAACACTCAAAAAAAGCACGACTGTGCCACACAGACTGTTTCGTCGGACTTTCACCGACTCATCAGGTGTGTGTGTGTGTGTGTGTGTTGGGGGGGAGAGGGGGGGGGGGGGTTGTAATGGTCGCTATCCAGTAGCATACACAACGAGAAAGGAAAAAGAAGGGCATGTTTGTGCGTCTTTCCGTGTCTCAGGGCGTCGCTCGGTAGTCTCGAAATGTGCAAAACGAGAGTGAATCTTCCGCTAGAATATGGAAAGATGCACGGCCATGATTTTGTCTTTTGTGCATCTCGAGACTAGTGGAGCGAGGCCGTGTGTGTGTGTGTTTGTGTGTGTGTGTGTGTGTGTGCGGGGTCCGCTGGTAGGCCTACCTATCCTATAGGCGGGGCGCTTTCTGGACGAAACAGTCCTCTGCCGGCGCACGACGTCGGCGGAAGAACGAACCGAGCTACAGGTAGCGGAGGAGCAAAAGAGAGGTGGACAGGCTCGGAAACAAGGAGAAAAAAAAAAAAAAAAAAAAAAAAATGGAAACAAGGAGCTCGGCTCTCCACCGTCCGTCAACCAATAACAGAACAGAGGTGCATACACCCTCCGTTCATGTGCGGGTGCAGCGTTTGGACAGCTCACTCGGTCTCCCACTGAAAGCCCACAGGTAGTTGCACTGCAGTAGTCGCCATCCGCCAAGATTTCGAATGCATCCGGAGTGAATATCGACGAGGTGCATTCAAAATGTTGGCGGGTGGCTACAGGCCTTGACTGACGAGCATCGGGCCGGTCATGGTCGGCCGTTTCACTTTCACGGTCGCGTGTTGTTGGTCCCGTGCAGCTTTCACGTAGTCGCCGCTCAGATGGTACCCAGATTTCGGGGTGCAGCTTTATTCCACGTGTCTGTCGCCCGCGCTTGGGTCCCGCAAACCCCCGCTTCAACGTCTACCCCACCCCCTCACCTTCTCCGCACTGAACTGATGACTCCCACTGGTCCATCAGGGGCACGGTTCCACTAGCACACGAGTCATGGCCTATTTGGACCTGTGTGGCACTGTAACAAAAGGAAGAAAAGGAAGACGTAAAAAAAAGAAAAATGGCGAAGTTACATTTCCCAAGATAGGGAAGGAGGCCGACTTTTGAAAGTGCTGCAGTGGCTGCTCTAACAACACTACTCCCTACCGGGGACGGTAGCGAAGCTCCGCGTACTAGGCTCAGTGACGAAGCTCGGCGGGTCCTTCGGAGGGCTCCGTCCTCGGTAATCCCGAGGTCTAAGCAGGATGCAGGGTTGTGCACACCGTAGTTCGCTGGGGTGAGTGTCGCTGGAGAAATACCAGGGACCTGGACAGCTTCCCTCTACAGTCTTCCCCCGAATACAACGCACGGTCATTATAGCTGTAGTTGAGGCATCTTTCAGTCTAGATACAGCTATAATGACAATACGTTGTATTCGGGGGAAGACTCTAGCGCAAGGGCCTTTGGCCATCTGCTTGAAAATTTTGTCCATGGAGATTAGCTAAAGTGCAATTTCGGATCAAGGAACGGGGTTATTTTACCCCACACTTAGCCGCCTAAATGAGTGTTGCTGAAGAATCGGTGATTTCCAGGCGAGTTTTTATGTCAGTTGACCCAGGCTTTGACCAAAGGAGAGAGAAGGCGTGGATCGGATCTGAGCCAATTGCAGGTATAACATTCTCCCCCCTTTCCGCCCTCTTCGACC